TGAGCCACTGCAACTAGCAGTGGTTTGAGAAAGTATACTGGTTGAAGCAATGTTTCAGACTCAAGACTGGAATAGACAACTGAGTCTATTACTAGGGACACTGTGCCTATGAAGGTATGTAGGGAACAAGAGGACAAAACTAAAGTACAGTAGCGCAAGTAATGCTACTTAAATAGTGCTAAGTGAATAGAGTTTAATAAGTATGAAATACTGAGTTGGATCAGTGATGTACATGAGACAGGTTCCACTGGGTTGTATCAGTGATGAGGATGAAACGCAATAGATATGAAATGTGATGTGGGTGAAATGAGATATAGGTGAAAAGCGATGGATATGAAACGCTTGATGTAAGTGAAATACATCAAGTGATGTGATCAGTTGTATAGTACAGGGTCAACAATGAATGGTTAGGAAAGAAAAAGAAACCCCCCCTCCCATGCTATAACAACAATGCCATCCACCAGAGAACTTGACATAAGTAACGTCTAGTATGTACAAAGTGCCAGAAGAGACAAGGTTTGGATTTTATGTCCATTTAATTTCTAAGTATTATACAACATGTCAGACAGTACATGACAAAGCATAAAATTATATTTAAAAAAATCTTGTTGTGGAGATGTGCAAAGGTGCATGCAACCTATGGAAACAACATTGTCAGGTTTGAAGTGTTGACAGAGTGAAACAATGGAGATTTTAGTGCATATAACATACATGGGCAGAGGATGCTGTATGCAGTAGCAGAGTTGGGTAAATTTACAATGCCTGTACAAAAGGACCACAGTTTACGAGCTCGATGGGAACTGGCTAAGCAATATGCGATAAAGGGCTGAGGTGATACACAGGTATAACTGCTGTTCAACAAAAACATCTGAGGGAGAGAGAAATTCTAATGCAGAGGGCACAAGAGGCAATCGTCCATAGGAGAAGTGAAAAGCTGCAGGAACAAGTTAGAAAGTGAGCGCATGTGAAGTGAACACAACCCAACCGCATGCAATGGTCCATAACAAGGCGGGAGTCTACTGCAGTCAGACTTTATGCAGTGTGTGGGGGGGGAACCGAGTCGGCTCCATCTTCTAAATACGAGGTGTCAAAGTAGCAAGGAAGAGAAGCTACCTGCACAGCGGCAGTTGCAGCAGAAGCATGTGTAGGAAACTTAATGTAAAGTGGCTCCCACTTTGCTGAGAGACTGATATCAAGGTCGTCAACTTTGCCAGAGACCTTGCATGTATCAACTGTGTGGGTGTTATCTGCAGGAATGACAAACAAATGTTTTCCTGCTTTGTCAGAAGTGGAGTGGAACATTCCCCATGCACTCCAATGGTAGTATTGTGCCTGCTGATTGTTCATGTCAATCTGGCTGTTGTGGAGCTGGAGTTTGGATTGTATGCGAGCTTGTTCTGCAACGAGCCTGTGATACTCTATATGCGCATGGAGGCAATCGGTCTGAGCCTTGTAAGTCTCAAGGCGAAGTTGCTCTAAATCAACAAACTTGATGGTTATCAGTGCAGTGACAATGATTTTGCACCACTGCTAGTACACACTGTAAGCAGAGAAACCTCCTTTGCAGTTTGAATGACTTCAGTAGGTTGGTCTACACCAATAGCAGCAGGCCGGGCCTGCTTGCACTTCTAAAACAAAAAAAATGGCTTTAATGGAATGACTCAGAGGTGTAGGCTATATCCTTACAGGTTTCTCAATAGGCTCATTGTCATCAGATTCAACATATTTGTTGCTCTCATTGACAGTTTTTTTCTTTTTGCAAGACAACTTCTTGCCTGACAAGGCCTGCAAAAGAAGGAAAGAAAAATGAGTAAGCTATGGATGAAGCAAGTGCTATAAACATCAAACAGCTGCAGTATTCTAAAGACAATGTTGAGTAAGTGAAGTACAATATTCATGAGGAGAAGATTGCACCACTGCTGATGGACCTGATGCCTATATGCGCAGTGCAGTCAGTTATAATACCGGATGGTATAAGCAGCAACTATCGCACCATAGGCTGAGCCTCAATTACAACCTTTTTTTTCTTAGTAGTAACCTTGTCTGGAATCGAAGGCATCTCAAAGACATGTTCAAGGTTGGCAAGAGGCTCCATCTTGGGTAGAAGCAAGCCATCCTGTTTATATCAGTAGAGCTACACATGAGATGACCTGTATGCTTACAAGTGAGGGGTGAGATAAGAGGGAATGTAGAGTTGCTGGCAATGAACAAAAATTCCCAGTCAAGCTGGCTGAAATCTGGAGTCCCTGGGCCTCAGTAGCTGTAAACTCCATGGAGGGAATGAAGAAAGAGTCTTGCACGCACACGATACACAAAGTATATGCAGTCATGTGATCATGTATGTGACTGATTTTCAAAGTCTTTCACGGAGCATCCAACATATTGTATGCTATTGGCAAAATCATGTTGATGTATTTGAGAGAGGATCTATTAGATTGTTCAGGTTACTCCTGTCGTCCTAACTGGCTTCACAATCCAGCCAAGCCACACCTTCTGGCACTTTGAACTATGTATCTGCACACGCCCTCCAGCTGTCCACACTGACCTGGTCGTCTGTCCGATGGCTCTGCAAAGGGAGACCACACTGCCCCCCCCATGTGCGTACGGGTCTGGGGGGTCTTGGCCGAGAGAAATTGAATGGTGCTGAACATCAAACACTGAGGTTTACTGGCGGTTCTACACCAACAAAGCCCCCTCCACCATCAGTGCACTGTGTATGTTGGGCAATTCAAGACGCGCGTATTCTCACCGTTGAATGATATTTAAGCCAGAAGGCTAAGCTGTGGCTTCCCAATCTGCCCCACCCAGTAAGACATGCAAAGTAGCGTGAAGCAGGGGCTTCACACTGTCTGCCTGTTTGCCATACCATGCTCCGTCCTTCCGATTGTGAAGCCCCCACGCTCCGGGATCTCCAATCTGGGTGTAGGCGATAAGCCAGCCCCAATGCCAGCACCTGCTGCCTTCTCTCCCAGCCACGCTCTGCCTCTGCCTCTGCCTCTGCCTCTGCCTCTGCCTCTGCCTCGCACAACTGCACAACTGCACCCAAGTGTTCCGAAGAAGCTTCATATAGCGCACTGTGGGCCCCTGCAGCTGCCCTTGCCCTGCCTTCCCCCTCTGCCTCCTCTACTGGCCCCCTGCCCCGTGACAATGTCTATCATCGCATGCCATCATGCCAATTGGCCACCCTGCCCCCATCTGTGCCTGTCCCAGAGCCCTCGAGACAGCAGACACATGGACCCCGCTCGACAGTTGGTGGTTGTGAGTGTGGCCGTGCTCTGCGCAAGACAGTGCTGCACTTCCAGCGCAAAATAGCCTGGTCTCCCACCCCAGCGGCCGCACTCCACGCAAGACAGTGCTGTGCTTTGCACAAGACAGCAGCCCCCCCTTGAGGCCCCGGGTTCAACTCCCAGCCAGGCCCTTTCTTTTATTCTATTTACCATATATTCTATGGGTTTGATATCTTTTGCTTGTGGCACTGGCACCACAGTCACTGCTTATTAGCATTTTCAAGCACTTTGATAAAGCACTAGTGGAGCACATGCTGTAGTGCTGCAGTAAGGAGCTTTGGTGGCTTATTCAGTTCTCTTGCCTTTGCAAGTCTCTCATCTGTTGATAGGCCCATTGATAGGCCTGTGTAGCACATAGGCATGCTTCAAGCCAGAATTGACCTTTGAAGCATTTGAAATATCCGCCTTTGGGAAAGCCTGTGATACCTCAACACAAAAACATCTTTGAGCAAAGCCCATTCTTTGACATATTCGAGATGTCACAACCTTACTATGATCCAATCGGGATCTTTTGAAGAAGGCCTCATTCTGGAAACTTGGCTTTGAGGGAAAATCTCCATCAGCAAGAGACTGAGATACCTGATGCAGGGCTGTCGGGCAACCCATTTGGTCAGTGCACTCGTATTGCAATGCCAAGGCTCACAACAGTTGAGTCTCCGGGACTAGCAGGATGTAGCATATGGGACAGGAGTTGAAACTGATGGAGGTGTCAGGCTAGTGTCGGGAGAGTATGTCATGTGACGACTCACCATAACTGCCTCCAAAAACCTTAACCTAACCCTAAACACTACTCACTGGCTGGAGTTTCCTCCAAAAACCTTAACCTAACCCTAAACACTACTCACTGGCTGGAGTTTCTTGTAAAGGGCTTTGACGCGGTTTACTGTAGAGGATGGCTTAGAATGTAGCAAGTAAATGACTATAACTAGTCTGGCCCTAACTGGTGCAGACCTACTGGCTTATACACACATAGGGTAAACCCCCCTAATGCTGTAAGACAAGACCCCTGGTACTTGGACTTAGCTATGCTATTGGCTATCTATGTCACACGATGACCCACCATGACTCTGCCCTAGACCCTACACCTAACCCTAAGCCTGACTATACTCACTATTTGATAGGTCTTTCTGAGTAAAAGCTTTGAGGGTGGTTTACTAGTAAAGGATGATCTCTGAGTAAA